CAACAAAACATTCATAAGCAATAATGAAATTTTTGTTGACAGTCTCCCAAACTTTGAGATTTGAAAAATAACAATAATAATATTCCATATATCATATTTGGGGAGAAAAAGTTGCACATTTTTTTTTCACATTCACTTTCATCTCACCTCTTCACTTATTACTTTTCTGCACTTTTCTCCCATTTCTTCTTACTGTCAGTCTTTTCAATTCCCTTTAAATTCCTCTTTCTATTGATTTTCTTCCTTCACTCTCACACTAGCTTCCCAACCTCACTCACAATTGGACTCTTTCCCAATATATAATATTCCTCCTTTCTTCCATTTTATATATAATATTCAATACTGCAATCCTCTCTCTTTTTCAATATATTTTGCACTCATTTGCACTTACCTCCACAACCTTCATTATTTTCACAATTATTTCTTATATTCCAAACACATTCTCTTACCTTCCCATTATCATTAAAACAGATTTTTATTTTTTTTTCCTGCCAACTGCTTATTTTACACAGAATTTCAATAAAGTTATACACTTTAGGTCAGTCCTGTTTATGAATGTAACATCACTAAAACCATTTGACTGAGTATTTGATGAACCAAAAAGTATTTCATGACAATAATAATAATATCAAAAAAAGTAAAAAATAAAAAATAAAAAATCCTCTCCATATATATATACAAGTATATATACATATTCTCACTTCTCTTTTTTCTTTTTCTTTTTTTTTAATGACAAACACACTTATTCTTTCTTTTAAAACTTTTCGCTTTCACTTTATATCCACTGAATAAGCGATGAAATATCTGTCGCAACGGAACTTTTTAGTCTCTGATACTTTGTTTTGCAGTTTCTAAAAATAATCTACCAATAAATTAATGTCCATTGTGTTCTATTTTTCTATCTCATTCTTTTTCTTTCTTTTTCTCTGTTATTTGTTACTTGTATTTTTTTTTTCTTTCTTTCTTTCTTTTTTCCTTCTCACTTTTTTTCAACTTTATTGTCATTTATTTCTTTCTTGCTTGCTTTCTTTCTTTCTGTCTTCTCTCGTTCTATCTCACTTTCCTTTCTGGTGTTTTCTACCAGTTCATTCAGTCCAATTTTCTTTCCATAAAACAAAAATAATAATAACCCCGTGCAATAACAACAATTTAATTTTACTGCTTTTTTATGAATACTAATTTATCAAAGGTCATACAACCACAGGCTCATTTTTTCTTCACCTCTTTTTTTTCTTCTTCTTCTTTTATCACTATTATGTTTCTTCCACATTATCTTTTTAGTAATAACAAAAGGAGAAAAAATTACCAGTAAAAAAAGGGAAGAAGGTAATACAATGATTATTTATCAAAATATCTAATTAACCAACTTATAATATATTGTAAACATATAAAGCAAAGAATTTCATACAGACCATCTATACTTAAATGATTCTTTAAAGATCCATTAAACATACATATTACTTTTTACCTCATAAATTATCTTCCACAACTATACATGGACTCCCATGTCCACCTATAGGAGGATCTCCTACACCAAACCACAAAATAATATGAATCCACACACACAGCCTCCCATATCAAATCATAAAATAATATAAATCCACAAAGACAGCCTCTCATACAAAAAAAAGCAACATTAATTCACATACATGGTATCCAAAACAAAACCATTTAGTTATATGAATCCACACAGACACAGCCCTCTATACCAGACAACAGGGCAATATGAATTCACACAGGCTCCTAAAGCAAACCACAAAGCAATATTACTCCACATAAAGCCTCCTATACCAAACCATAAAATAATATGAATCCAAACACATAGCCTCCCACACTAAACCACAAATCACTGAGTATCCACACACAGTCTCCCACACAGCCCATCCAGGCAAGCCAACAAGAGCAGATTGTTCCTCACTTGATGCCAAGGCATGTGCAGCAGTTGGTGTTGTGTATGGAAGCGTAGTGGCTCAGCATGGACACCTGGGACGTGAACTTGTCTTTCCACTTGTTGTACTCGGAGGAGATGAGCCCCAGCATCGTGTCTGAGTCTTGGGGGTTGTTGCAGTCTCGTCGGGATTCTAATCTGTAAGGTTCAAGGGGTCTGTGAGTGGTGCTGTTTTCCTGCTACCTAGGACTGTCCCCTTGGGTCTAGGGTCAAGGCTAGATACTAATGCAAGCAGGTTGTCATAAGCTCTTTGCTCTCTAGGACCTCAAGAAGCTACCAGCATTCAACTAAAGCCTCAAAGCAGACTTAAGCAGAATGCTTCATTTAGGAGGGAAAGTTTTTAAATGAAATCAAGAAGAGGATGAAAATAAAACAAAACTTATAATCTGAAATCTGTTATCTCTACAAAAAGAGGAACCTGAAAGGCAGGAAGGCAGAAGCTTGCATAATTTAATCTGACATCTTCTTGGATGGACAACACCGAAAAATAAATTAGGTCTGCTCTATTCCACAATTCCTCTTATTAAAAAAAAGAAAAGAAATAATAATAAT